ATGCTTAATCTTGGAACTCAGGGTTACTCCACAGTGTCTAAAATCTGAAAAGTGGGGCTTGGAAAGGGGGTTCAGCAGTTAAGAGCACTGTTGCTCTTACAGAGGACCCAGGTTTAGTTTCTAGCATCCATATGGTGGTTCACAACTGACTGTAACACCAGTGCCAGGGGATCCAATGCTCTTTCCCAGACTCCATGGGCACCAGGGCTGCATGTGGTGCATATTCAGACATGAAGGAAAAACATCCATACACATTAAAAAAAAAATAGATCTATTTTCCTTAAAAAGCTTTGAGCAGAGAGCTGCAGAGCCATTTAACTCGAGGGCCAAGACCCAGAGAGTCTCCAAGACTGGATCATGAGACCTCCATGGAATGGCCTTGTTCTTGACCACAGACCTCCCATTTTCCCTCTGGTTTACTAACATGGAAGTCACTACAGTACTTACTGTAGGTCCTATAGTGTAGGAGGATGTTTAGAGTTGTTATTTTTAATACCTGCATCACATCCTTTCAGAAAGGACTCCAAGGAGAATGTTTCCCCCGGTGTTTGTAGCAGAAATTAACATTCTCCAGAGTTAGCGTTTCGTTTTCTCTTGTGAACACAGGGATGCATCTTCCCTTCTCCTCCACTAGGCTGAAGAAGGGACCCAGCAGGCTCCCCCCAGGAAGGCCTCTTCACATTCAGCTCACCTTCCTCTAAAAACCAGATGCCCTCTGCTTTCATTCTCAGGCCCTGATGTGTTTGTTTTGCTGCTTTATCGAATTGTTTAAAGCCACCAGCAATCGCTTTGAAACGCTACTGAGCACTAGCAAAGAATTTCTAAGTTTTTAAAAAAGAGGATCTACCCACTCAAGCCATGTACAAAGACAGGCCATCACAGCAATGAGAGTCTAGCTGCAAAGAGGGACGGGAATTAACCCTACCTGGGCTGGCCTTAAACCTCTCGTGATGGCAGCCTCTGGAGTCGTGGAGAGTGGACAGATGCTGGGACCTGCTGGTCCAGAACCTCACCTGAACTTCAGGGAATCATCACCAGGGAGGGTTTTTCACCTGCAGGACTGCAGGCAATGACCCAGGGTGCAGCCAGAAGCCACAATGTGCTTGGAGGGTGGCATCCAGCATACTCGACAGTGTTGCTTACACAGACCAAGCATCGGCATCCACTCTACTCCCTGCTCAGCTGGGCTATGTCAGTACTGCTGGGTCTGTGGACGCTGGTCAGCAGGGCCCTAGGCACTTCCTCACCCTCCCAGAGTAGATCCTGCAGGGAGCCCAAGAGGTTCAAGAGAAGGACAATGATGACTTCTCCACCCCCTGGCCCTTCTGCTCTCCTCTTACATCCTGCTTCTCGTACTCTCAGACCCCCTTCTAAAGCAGCCAGGACCAACCATCGCTTCCCAACTTGCTCACTCCATACTGCAGTATCTGCAGGAACCGCTCACCTTCATCAGTGCTGAACTTGAGGCCCCGGGAATTTTGCTTGTACAGAAAACTTAAAAGAAAAGAATGCCCTCTCCTCTGGAGGACAGACACTTTGACTTTGTAACGCTCAAGCAGCTGTGTCTCAAGTCTAAAAGACTCACCGGAGTGAACAACTCAGAACTAGAAAACAGGCAGGTCGAACGAGGTTTCTCATATTCTAGCACCAAACAGAAAATATCCAGCACTCAGACAAAGGCAGGGAGAGTGCCACAAGTTCAAGGCCAGGCAGGGCTACAAAGTAAGACAGAGGGATGGAGAGGGGCAGGGGAAGAGGAGGGGAAAAGAGGAGTGAACATAATGGAGAGGAAAAACAATTTACAGTAGAAACTAAAAAATATAAAATAAAGAACCATGAATAACCCACATTAGAGAAGATAGGCTTTACTGAAAGACAAATTATTGAAGATACAAACTGCTGCATTGAACCAACATTATAATAATATCAGGCGTTTTGAAATAATATCAAGTATACTCACAATCAAAATGCCAACAAGATCTTTTAAACATTAAATAATTAAAGCCTACTTGAAAGAATAAATGTCCCACAGAAACATTTGCTATATATTTATTTGTGGGTTTTTGTTGGTGGGTTGGTTTTTTGTTGTTGTGTGGTTTTTCTTTTTTGGATTTTTTTTTTTGAGACAAGTTTCTCTGTTTGTCTTGGCTGCCCTGGAACTCACTTCTGTAGACCAGGCTGGCCTCGAACTCAGAGATCCACCTGCCTCTGCCTCCTGAGTGCTGGGATTAAAGACGTGTGCCACCACCGCCCCGTGAAAATTTTTTAAATGTTTAATTTTTTTTATCCCTGCATCCGAAGTAAGAAATTCCTAAATTTTCCAATAGGCACTGTCACTGTGTTAAAGCGTCAGCCTGTAGTCACGGAGGTGACGCCTTCCCTAAACTAGCAAGTTTCACTCCATCAGGGACAGCATGGCCAAGGGGAGCCTCTTTCCGAAGACTGGCTCTACAGACGCTGTTTTTTGCTTTCTTGTCCCTTTCCCATTCCCAGCCCTCACCCTGGGTGCTGAGTCCCTCTCACCTGAGCCCTAGGACAGTCTGTTTCAGTTCTGATGCCATTGTTTCCTCTTTCCAGACGCAGCTCTTCCTGCTCTAACTTGTGTGGAGTCTCTCCTACCAATTCACCAAGCGCTACACCCCATAGGCAAATTCTCTGCACAGCTTGGGACCAGTCCCATGTTCACGGGCTGATCTACTGTCTTTTTTTTTTTTTTTTTTTTTTTTTTTTTTTTGGTTTTTCGAGACAGGGTTTCTCTGTGTAGCTTTGCGCCTTTCCTGGGACTCACTTGGTAGCCCAGGCTGGCCTCGAACTCACAGAGATCCGCCTGGCTCTGCCTCCCGAGTGCTGGGATTAAAGGCGTGCGCCACCACCGCCCGGCTGATCTACTGTCTTTTAACCTGGCCATTCCACACCCAGTGCCTCTGTCACTTATGACCTTTGGATGCCTATCTTGGTCCCAATCTTCACCTTATACTGCCCCCTGCTGTTCAGCCCACCCAACTGCACTCACAGTTCGCACTCTGACCTCAGTTGTTTTTCCGGTAAATCTGTCGGTAAAGAACTGCCCCAGGGGGAAAGAAGCTGTGTCTGTGTTTTGAACTTCCTTTCCTTCTGTGCTGGCTAACTGAAGTTTCTGTAGAACTTCCACTAGGGGGTACCACCCCGTAACATTTGAAAAAGGGAAGGCTGCTGAATGCAATTCTTAATGAAAATTGAAGTCCAGACACATGGAATTTTAGAAACTTTTCTGAACACATGCTGTAATTTTATGAAGCAATTTAATTTGATTCCTTTTAAATAAAAGCTGCCCCATGGGCAGAGTAATAGGCAACAATCTTAAGCAGTATAAACCTATATAAGGGAAAACCAATTAAAAACCCAGACTCCATTACTATAACATAAATAGTCATGAATTAAGTAAAATATACGTAAGACCTTAGTAGAGCCAGACAAGCAAAGTTATTTTCACTTTAGCAAGAGAAATAGATATGCAAAAGTTGGCTTTAAAACAAAAGCTTTGCAAAAACAAAAATAAAGGCAGCTCAGATGTTCTGGGACTCCTTGCATAAATAAAATCAAATGATTCTATTATCCCTGGGGTTTAAGAATTTACCTGCAATACTGCAAACTGATTCAAAGTTGGTATCTTCTGAGTTCTTTTAGGAGAAAATAAGCCAAGGAATTATAGTGTAGTGGTTGAAATGCAGGACCCTAGAATTAAGTTGACCTTTGAATCCTTCATCTCTTTCTCACTACTCTGAGCACTTAGGCAATCTCCATCACATTAGTCAGAATCCTGGTTCTGCATCCCCTCATTGGGAATGATAATTGAACCCACCTCACTGGTTTGTGCTCTGAAGTAGATGAAATAATTCAAATGTGACTCACCTCCAGAAGATACTCAGTAACTGGTAGCTTCTCATTCAATGAGTGATTGTAATGAAGGCCTTTTAAGATGACATCTTAGTTAGGGTGACTATTGCTGGGATGAAACCCCATGACCAAAAGCGACTTGGGGAGGAAAGGGTTGATTTCGCTCACAGTTCCATATAACACTTCATCATCAAAAGCGCCAAGGGCAGGAACCTGGAGGCAGGAGCTAATGCAGAGGCCATGGAGGGGTGCTGCTTACTGATTTGCCCAGCCTACATTCTTATTGACTCCAGGACCACCAGCCCAGGGATGGCACCACTCACAAAGGGCTGGACCCTACCCATCAATCCCTAATTAAGAGAATGTCCTACAGGCTTTTCTGCTTACGGCTGGATCTTCTGGAGGCATTTTCTCAATTGAGGTTCCCTCCTCTCAGATGTAGCTTGTATCGAGTTAACATTAAACTAGCCAGCACAGATGACTGGGAACAGAAATCATCTCATGGAAAGAGATGTTAACTATCTTTTTGATAAACACACTCTAAGGCTAGAAAAAACATTCAGCAACTTGATGATAATCACACAGTTGCTCCCCCACTTTAGAGTAAACCTGGACCTCCTTAATGCCAGGCCTGCCTTCCTTCCCCAGTATCACACGACTCTCCCGGTACCCGACAGCTTATTAATATAGACTAAATGTATTCCTTAGTTAAAAATAGATTTTTAGGACAAAATTTTGCTAAAGTAACAAAATAAATGCGCGGTGTGACAGTTTGGAAGGATCTTACCACACATATATTAAGAGTTTGAATTTTAAGCCCATTTCTTACTTTAGAAATTTACCTTTAGGAAATAATTTCTTTAATTATATGTGAAAGATTCACTCCCACATACCTGAAAAGGAAAAACTCCATATGTTCAACAGTAAGAGAACAATTAAAGATGACAGACCTATGAGTTACGGAAGCACTAGGAAATGCCAAAGAAGCCTGGGGCCCTATCTCAGTGGGAACCCCTGCACCCTGAGTTGGATCCCCAGCACTGGAGAAAAAGGAAGTTGGGAAAGGGGTGGCAGAGAGAAAGAAGGGAAAAAGAGGAAGAAGATAGCAAAGAAGACAAAACACAAAGGAACCTAGAAAATATTTATTTCATTCCTCATTTCATTCCAAAAGGCAGTGATCTGGCAAGTAGAATAACAATTTATTTTATGCTCATTATAACCAATTAAAATTAAATACTGACTTGGTTAGAACCTAGAAAAAAAGAAGGAAAGAGTGAAGTAATTTTAGGAGTATTTAGATGAGAAATTTCTTTTTTCCCCCTTTGAGTTCTCTTGAGACTGATACAATAAAGAATCCTGCAGAATGAACGCATTTTTTCATGTGGTTGGTAGTAAAAAAGAGTTCACATGATCCAAGCATCCTTTAATACATTATGATAACATGTACAATAAAAGGAAAGGCCCAAGACCAGAGCCTCTGTCATGCAATGAGCTCTGAGGGGCACATGGTATCTATCAGTCCCTAGCCTCTCCAAATTCACCAGCTGGGACAGGAAACAGGGCACATACAGCCATCTCTTCAAATCCTAGGGATGTTGGTTCCAGGAACCCTGAAGGATGCCAAGATCTGCAGATGCTCAAGTACCCAATAAACTGGTGTGTGGTATTTGCATATACACAGATAGCCACCTGAATAGTCTAAACCACCTCTAAATTTCTTGCAATACGAGAAATACCCTATATTGTCTAGGGAAGGACATGAGAACTATCTGAGCATATTCAGCACAGACAAAATTGTTTCCTATTAAACTTGGCTGAATCTGCAGCCATGGATCTCAGCACCACTTTACCTTAGTCTTGGATATCCCATCTCAGACAGTCACTCTTCCTCACCTTTCCTGCCATCAGCCCAGTGGTCCCTTCGTCTTTCTCTGGACCACCAGCTTGGCTCCATTTTCTTTACCACGTTTCTGAAATACTAAGACTCATCACTTCAGCTGCCACTCCACAGGGATCATAAGATGTTGACCAGTTTCTTTTCCGATTCATCGATCCAGAAAACCCCCTTAAGCTGGGGATATCCCAAGCCTGAGTTGCATAATTCCCTGGTATCCCTTCCTGGATTCCTGACAGGCACCCTCTCCCCAAGCCCTCAACGCTCCCTTCAGCCCACTCATGCCATCCCTTCCTTCTCCTAGGCAGCTGATATTGCCTTTTATTGTACAGAAAGGAATTCCTGGCCTCAGGGGCTCACTCCACACCAGCCTGTCCAGTGGCTGAGGCTCCAGTTTGTGTCAGCAGCTCTAGCCAGAAAGAATTCTGAAACAAAAACTTGCTGAGCCTAAAGTCCAGTTGTATTCTGCCTGTCCTTGCTTCCCACTCTTTGGTTTCAGAGTCAACAAGGCACTTGCTTCCTGGACCCAGGACCTTCCACCTACTCCTACCTTAGTCCACCCTTGTTTATGCCGCCATCGTCTCCCCCAAATAGCATGTTTCTGCCAGCTAGAAAGAGGCCTTTCCTTTAGAATACAAGTTCTTCCAGGTCATTATCGCTGGCTTTTCTCCTCTCTTTACACATATCTAAAGAGCTGCCTTTCCCACTGCCCATTTCCCCCCCTCCCACTCCTGATTGCAGCTAACTCCTCCCACCCCTGAAATGGTACCTCGGAATCGAAAGCCAATGGCTCTTTTCCATCTTCCATTTCTCTTGACCTTTCAGTTGTGTTTAATCCTTTTGGCCATTTTATGCCCCGAAATATCCTCCTTTTTTTTTGCTCTGTCGCCTTAATCAGCGGAATGAGTAAACTCTTGCCTTTAGGCCATCCAGGGAGAAGAGACAGGGATGAAAGGCCCTGAGGTCCTCAGGTGAGCTTGCAGGGGTGTGGTGGCCGCTAGATCTGAAGATCCATTAGGTAAGTTGTGAGAACTGGATTCCTTCCCGCAGCCTGAATCAGACAGAAGGGGGGGGGGGGGGGAGGAAGCCATCAGAAAGGTAAATAGAGCAGCTTATTCTTGTGTCAGAAAAAAAAAAATAGTGCAAGGGAGAATGGACTGTATTATGGGGACCTATTGACAGTGTGGAATTCCCTCATGGGGTGTAAGGGATAGAAGTAGAATTGAAGACAGCGGGTCTTTTGCAGTATTCTCGAACAGCTAGCATTTCCAACCTGCATTCGTTCAACGGAACAAAATCAACTTTGCACTGTTAAAACAATTTTGCTTTTTAATTTTAGTGTTAGTTTTGTGTGTACAGATTGATATGTGATTATATGCTAGCTACTGATGGTCTTGATTCCTACTCCTAAGTAATATGTGCCTGTCTTAGTTTTCTACTTCCGTGACAAAATACCACAACAAAAAGCAACTTGGAGAGGGTCAGGTTTATTGTTCTCATATATATATGAAATATATATATATATATATTTCATATATATATAAAAATAAAAAATTTTATTTAAAAATTTTTCATCCCACCCCCCCAACCCAACCCCACCCCCATCCCCTCCTCATAGAGGTTAAGGCCTCCCTTGGGTAGTCAACACAGGCTGGCATACCAAGTTGGGGCCTGAACAAGTCCCTCCTCCTGCATCACGGCTGAGTAAGGCATGCACCATAGGGAATGGGCTCTAAAAAAAAACAGTTCGTGTACCCGGGATAAATCCTGGTCCCACTGCCAGGGGACCCACAAACACATCAAGCCATGAAACTGTCACCCACATTCAGAGGTCCTAGTTCGGTCCCATGCAGGCTCCCCAGCTGTCAGTCCAGAGTCCATGAGCTCCCACTAGCTTGGGTCAGCTGTCTCCGTGGTTTTTCCCATCATGGTTCTGACCCGAGGATCGGGTTTATTTCCCATTATACTTCCACACCGAAGTCCATCATCAAAGGAAGTCAGGGCAGGAACCTGGAGATGGGAAATAAAGCCGAAGTCGTGGAGGAACACTGCTTACTTCCCATGGCTTGCTCGACCTGCTTTCTTATAGATTCCGGGACCATCCACCCAGAGGGAGCAGCAACCACATCAATCATTAACCGAACAGTACCCCACAGACTTGCCTACAGGCCGGTCTCAGGGAGACATCTTCTCAGTTGTGGTTCCTTCTTCTCAGATAGCTCTAGTGTATGCCAAGTTGACACACAAAAACAACAACATCCTGGACAGCACCATATTGGACTGCAAAAGTTCCAGTTTGGTCTAATTTCCTTTTGTCGTCTACACTGTTATTTTTAACAAGTATTTTACTTTTCCAAGTTTCAATGGATTTTGAATGAGCACTGAGCGCAACACATAATACTGGTGTGTGTGAAAGTGTCACAGAGAAAAAACCCTGAGGTTATTTGCACTTTGTGAGCTGGAGAAGTGAGTGTACTTCAGTAGCTAAGGAGGATTCCCTACAACATGAAACAGGCTCTGGCCTGTGCTAACCAACCTAGACACAAAAACAACAACACAAACAAACAAACAAACAAACCACAGAACCCCGGGCAACCCTTAGAACTGATGAGTCTTTATGAGGTTTACAAACCCTTCCAGTTCACCTTTCTTAGACCAAGCACGCCAAACGTCCTTGACTGTGGGTATCAGCTAGGTCCCCTGGGATCAGGTTGGTCCAGCAGGTAATCTGAAAAGAACGTCACATGCAGTCCACATCACCCCACCACCACCACCCTTGGTGGTTTCTCCACCAGTTAGGGAAGACATTCAAAGGCTGCAAACTCTCCCGGTCTTCGATTCTTTTTAAAAAGATCATTTGAGTTTTACAGAACTTTCCACCTTTCGTAGATTATTAAGCCAGACTGGAACATACGGATAGAAAAGAATTGTAGCTTCAATGGGGGGGGGGGGGGGGGGGGGGGAGAACCCGTGTTGAAATAGATACAGTTACCATAATGTAATTCCCGGGGCACTACAATTTGTGCTTGAAAACTAAGTGAAAACCTACTAAGACTCGCCCTCTTCCTTAAATAACGAGGATTAACAACCTTAACAAGGTAATAAATCATCAAGCCAACAGAACCTCACCCTGGCCTGAGCTCTGGGGTGGAACTTTCTGCTTCAGGCAGGCTTGTGACTGGGAGAAAGTGACCCAGGCCCTGTAGAAGGCGTTAAGGAACATGAATGCCGGAGCAAAAGTATGAGCTGCTCAGATCCCATCACCCACAGTGGCATGGAGGGTAGGGGGTGGGGTGGGAATGGGGGTGGGGACCGTGCACCGAGGGCAGAGGAGCCAAAGCCGGCCTGGTGAGTTGAGGAACCCCGCCCTGCTCACCTGGGAAGGGCGCCATGCAGGGGCGGAGCCGTCTCAGGTCACCCGGGGCGGTGGTGGCGGAACTGAGGAGTCTGGGCGGACGCCGGGCACCCCGCCACCCACCTCACCTGCGCGGGAGGCGGGGCCGGACGCACCTGCGCGGGCGGGAGGCGGGGCCGGGGAGCAGCCGTCGAGCCGGGAGAGGGCGCGGAGGCGGGAAGCCAGGCGCAGCCCCTGCCCCCCCCGGGGCTGAGATCCCGCCGCAGGCCCCCCCTGTCCCGGGTTGAGACCCCTCCGCAGGCTTTCCCCGATTGAGACCCAGCCATGACCTGGAGCGTCTCGGCGCGGGGCGCGCACCAGCCCGACAACACGGCCTTCACGCAGCAGCGCCTCCCGGCCTGGCAGCCGCTGCTCTCGGCCGGCATCACGCTGCCGCTCTTCTTCTGCGCCGGCCTGGCTTTCATCGGCCTGGGCCTGGGCCTCTTCTACTCCTCCAACGGCATCAAGGAGCTGGAGTACGACTACACCGGCAACCCCGGCACCACCGGCAACTGCTCGCTGTGCGCCGCCGAGGGCCAGGGCCGCGCGCCGCCGCCCAACTGCTCGTGCGCCTGGTACTTCTCGCTGCCCGAGCTCTTCCCGGGCCCCGTCTACCTCTACTACGAGCTGTCCAACTTCTACCAGAACAACCGGCGCTACGGCGTGTCCCGCGACGACGCGCAGCTCAGCGGCCTGGCCAGCGCGCTGCGCCACCCGGCCAACGAGTGCGCCCCCTACCAGTTCAGCGCCACCGGGCTGCCCATCGCGCCCTGCGGCGCCATCGCCAACAGCCTCTTCAACGACTCCTTCTCACTGTGGCACCAGCGCCAGCCCGGGGGACCCTACGTCGAGGTGCCCCTCGACCGCACCGCCATCGCCTGGTGGACCGACTACCACGTCAAGTTCCGCAACCCGCCGCTGGTGAACGGCAGCCTGGCGCTGGCCTTCCGCGGCACGGCGCCACCGCCCAACTGGCACCGGCCGGTTTACGAGCTCAGTCCCGATCCCAACAACACCGGGTTCATCAACCAGGACTTCGTGGTGTGGATGCGCACGGCGGCGCTGCCCACCTTCCGCAAGCTCTATGCGCGCATCCGTCAGGGCAACTACTCGGCAGGCCTGCCCCGGGGTGCCTACCGTGTCAACATCACCTACAACTACCCGGTGCGCGCCTTCGGCGGCCACAAGCTCATTATCTTTAGCAACATCTCGTGGATGGGTGGGAAGAACCCTTTCCTGGGCATCGCCTACCTGGTTGTTGGCTCTCTCTGTATCCTCATGGGCTTTGTCATGCTGGTTGTCTACATTCGCTACCAGGACCAGGACGACGACGACAATGATGATGAGTGATGCTGCTTCCCAGAGACCCTTTCCTGCTTCTCGGCCAAGCCGCTTTTAGCGGTGGCCCTTTGCTCCTTAACACAACTTTAAGCTCACTGATCTCTTGTGTTCGAAGGGCCTAGAGAAAGGAATCACCTGCCTCCTCTTAACAGATACGACACAGTTCTCAGGTTTTGGACTGTAAAATGCCAGATCTTGCGGCGATTTCTCCCCATCTCCTCTATGGCTTACAGAGTTGACATGTCAGGTCTTGAAAGTCTATAGCGTTCCAGAGCGAAGGACCGGGGGAAGATTCCTGGACTGGAACTCATTAAGACCAGCAGACAGAGGTTGGATCCCGATTCTGGGTCTAAGCTTTGGTTCCTTCAGTAACACGGTTTTCTGGGAGGAAGGTATCGGTGGGGGGAGGAAGGGGTTTAGATGGAGAGTGGTGGCCACTGATGGCCTACAGAAGCTTGGAGGAGTGGGGAAAGCGTATTTGGTAAAATTTAAGTCGATGAAGAGGCACCGAGCCTCTCAGGTTCTGACCCAGGAAGGCCAAGACTGGCAACCTTCACTGAAGAGTCCCTGTACCCTTGAATTTGGGAATCTTGAGCCAGGCTGGGTCTGGAGCACTCACTTGATTTTAATTTTTGGTTTTTTGTTTTTGTTTTTTTTTTTTTTTTTTCAGTAATAATTGGTTCCCATGAACAGTGACAATCACAGTGCTGGGATTTGGTCTTAAACACAGGAAGCCTGCAATTTGTAGAATGAATGAGAAAAGTCGCTAGCGCTAGGAAACTAGCACACAGATCTGCAGGGCAGGCGTGTGCCAACTCGTAATTAAATGGAAAAGCAACCTTCACAAGACACTATGTAAAAACTTGAAAACGCAAGTCCAGTTTGCATGGCTCAGGGCGAAGTGTCTTAACCTTAGGAACTGACGTGCAAAATGATCTTAGCAGGAAGCTGTTTTCCTGGGTCCCTGAGTGTCCCCTTGTCCCCTTTGCTCAGTCCCTTTTGAAACATCATCATCATCATCATCATTATCATCATCTTTTTTAATGCTTCAGGGAATAGTTTAATTAATTCATATCATTTTCACGAAGGACTATCTTAAATACAGTTTTAATTTATTCACCAATGAGACCCACTTCTAGTGATCATGTTTAAAGAATGCTAAGGATTATCTTATATGCAAAGTAGACTCTTGAGATTATTTCAGCCTCAGTGTCAAAATCACTCAGCTGATTGTATTTGATTGCCCACAGTTGATATAAAGCTATTCTCAGAGGCAATTGGGACTTTTTTTTTTATTTTAAAACCCTCTTTTTATGGAACAATAATGTAAAAGAACTTAAAAATAAAATTTCCCATGAGACCGTCTTCCAGGTTCCCTGAAGAAAACAGTTACTTGCTATTTGTCAGGGTCCTCTGGTCTCAGATCCGCAGTACAGTTATTTTCTACTTCTTGGTGTATTTTTATTCCTCAAAGGCAGTTCAAGGTCTTGAAGTATATTTTATTTTTATGGCGGTCAAATACTGAGTTCTATTGAATAATTTCCATTCATTCTCTTCTTCGGTTCTAGTTGATACTTGTTTTTGGATGTACAGCATGTCTTAGATTGTCTGGGTCAAAAGTGACTTAAAATAATCTTGTCTCATCTTTATGTATATCAGAAAATTCTCTAGTAATTCCAGTGTGCTGGCTTTCTGACTTCTGATTGTGATGAAATTTACTCTCCGATCACATACTGTGATTTTTGACTGTGAAAGGCTGATCCTTACATGTGCTTTCAGAAAGTTGGATTTATGATGAGTGTCTGGTTGGTCAGCTCTCTTCTGTGTCAGCTAATGGAGTTTGCTACATTTGTCTTTCACTATATAGTTGAGGGTAACTGTATTTTGCTATCATTTGTAGAACATTAGCCTTTTGTTATAAATTTTTATGTGAGACCATGAAACTTAAAGTCCTGTGATTAAGTCGTAGTTTCAGGCCTTGTTTTCGAAAGAGAATAAAGGTTGTGTTTGTCTTTCTCTGTTATCACATTACTTAGCTCTTTTGAACTGTGATCTTAAAGGCACAAACACCACGGCGTGTGCCTCATGTTACTAGCAGAGTTACATTGATGCGGCATCACCCTGCAGAGAATAGGTTCAGTCAATGTGAACTCATTCTTTTTTGCTAACTTCCTGAAACGCCATTTGAACTTAATCAACATCCCGTGTTTGGATTTACATGATCTCCAATTATTGTTTAAATTTGATAAATGACAATCCCTTTTAAATTTTAGTATGAAATGTTATTAAAGAATGTGATCATAGTTGGTGTTTGAGACTGCAAAAGAGCAGAAAGGTTTAAAACGAAATTGTCAGGTCTTTGCCTTAGTGATCCCTGTGCTGTGTAGCATTTTTGTCCGGTATCAGGATTCTGATTAATTGTATCCTTGTGCTTCCCAACTGGAGGTATGTCTTCTAAGAGTGAGACACAAGGGTGAACCTCAGCAGTTGAACTCGAAATAAACTTTGACCTGCTTTGTGAAGTAAAGGTACAAACAAAAGTGTTCAGTGAGAATACCCACCTCCATAACAATTTAAAAATAATAATAATAATAATAATGATGAAGAAGAAGAAGAAGAAGAAGAAGAAGAAGAAGAAGAAGAAGAAGAAGAAGAAAGCTGCGGGTTCCAGTGTCTCCACAACTGACATCACTCAACAATCTGCCAACTGGGCAATTGTTAAAAAATCAAGGGCAGACTCTCCTTTGGAACAAACTTTACTTAGTAGGATGTAGCCACAACTCCTCTGCCACACCAAAGAGTTCTCGGTGAGTCTCTGTTATCATCCAGCTCCTTATATGGGCTTGCATAAAAGTCATCAGTCACTATAAATAAAATTCTTTATTTGCACTGGACGTTTACAGCCCACATTTTGGCTATAGGTAAAACAGAGCTGGTTAGTTTTAGTTGGCAATTTAAAAAAAAATTCCGCCCCTCCCCTCCCAGGGGAATTTCTCTTAATTCTCTCTCCAACACTAGAGTCACTTGAAGGGCCTTCCCAAATCTGACTGAGACTCTTTAAGGCCCTGAAGAGATCTCACATGATAACTTCACTTTGTAAAGAACTGGCTCCATTATTTTTCTTCAGCAGTTTTCCAGTTGCTGATTTGCTACACTAATATCCTTTATAATTTTCCCACTGAGAATGGCAGTGTGCATTTGGGGAAAATAACCCACACTGCTCTGTCACCTTGTATGAAGATAGCCATCATCAGTGTCCCTGGTGTGGGGGAGGTCTCTAGAGCGTGCCAACCTTCCTCAGTTAGCATACCTGTGGGCTAGCACAGGGAAAACTCCTAGGCAGTAAGAGCGAGCGCACACTGGAGTCCTAGACGGGAAGGGAAGGATGGAAGGGAAAGGTGACCAGATATACCCCTAGGCTGACAGGATACCCAGAGGGCGCGGGGTCAGCAGCCAGCAGCATTGGAAGCTCCGGAGAAGACAGGCCTGGCTCAGCACAGAATCCACTCATGACAGACGGGGCTTTGTGGAGATGCGGTGGGCGAATAGCGGCTTACCACCTTCCGCACCCCTTGTCTTGGTGATCAATCTGAGTACAATCTATCTTTTCTTCAGAAGCAAAGGTGTTGTCGTCAGGGGCCTTCATAGCCCTGCCCTCCACACTGACTCCTCATTAAGCTCCCAGGGTGAATGACACCTCCCATAACCAGTGATAACTGCAAATGATGTGTATTAATAACGACATTGGTTTTTCTAAAAGGGCTTTGTTCTGGAAGCCCAAGGGTGCTGAACACTGTGTGGTCTCATTCATCTTCTCCATCAAAATGCCTGGGCTTCTACAAAGTTAAGACCAATGAGGTAGAAACAGATTCTTTTCTATTTTGTTCAAAACTCGATAAAAATAAGCCGTGCCAGCCGGGGACATGACTCAGTAGGTAAAGGTACTTGTCACCAAGCCTGACACCCCGAGTTCTGTTCCGGGGACCAACAGAGTGAAAGGAGGAAGCTGACCCCTGAAAGTTGTTCTCTGGCCTCCATCCTGGAGCTCTTGCACATGTAAGCCCACACACATGCACAAGCACACACAATAAATAGGTGTAAAAATAGTTTAAGTAGTCTTCCCTAGAAACGAAAGGGAGTAGTCTAATACTGAATGAAGTGGTGACCGCCATTGAAATGGCTTGCTTAATTATTTTTTAAAACTTATTACATGTGCCGGATAGTGTTGACGCACGGCTTTAGTCCCAGCACTCAGGAGGCAGAAGCAGGTGGATGTCTGTGAGTTCGAGGCCAGTCTGATTTACAAAGTGAATTCCAGGACAGCCAGGCCTGTTATATAGAGAAACCCTGTCTCAAAAAAATAAAAAAAGAAATTATTACATTTATTTATTTGGTTGTGTGTGTGTGCACGCGTGCGTGTGTGTGTGTGTGTGTGTGTGTGTGTGTGTGTGTGTGTGTGTGTGTGTGTGATGAACACTTGAGAGCAAGTGTTCACAATCCACAACACATGTGAAAGTCAGAGGACAACTTTCAGGAGTCATTTTTTTTTTCAGATTTATGTTATATGTATGAGTGTTTTGCCTGCATGTATGTATGTGCACCACGTTCAATGCCTGGTGCCTGAGGTCAGGAGAAGGCATTGGATCCCTTGAAAACGGAGTGATCAATGGTTGTGAGCTACCATTTGAGTGTTGGGAATGGAAACCGGGTCTTCTGCAAGAACAGCGAGTGCTTGCAACTGCAGAGCCATCTCTCCAGCCCCTCGGGAGTCTGTTCTAGCTTTCTTTCAAGTGGATCCTAGCACTCAAACTTGTATCATCAGGCTTCGTGGCCAGCACCCTTATCTGCTGCTCCATCTTGCTATCCTCCCAGCTCCACCATTTAAAGGAATTATTTTTGTTGTAAGATGATTTCCTGGACTATCTATCTATCTATCTATCTATCTATCTATCTATCTATCTACTGATTACTTTCTCCAACACCCTCTCTTATTTCTTTCCCATCCCTACAGCAGACTCCCTCTCCCCCATCCCTACCAGAACTTTTCCTATGTCCATGACTTAGTTTTGTTGTGTAGCCTATTTCAATTAACCAGGGCCATCACGAAACCATTGAATTGGGAGTGTCTATTGGAGCTTACTGGGGTCATCTGTGGGTGGACAGCTGGAGGTAATGATGTGCCCACTTCCTGAATCTATGAGCATCAGATAGATGAGTTAGGGCACCCTGGGCCTCTCCTCCATCCATGTCTGGCTGTTGATGGTGATGCTGTGAGTTTGTAACTACAATGGCTGTGCCTTGCCCTGAAAATGACATCTCATGGCCCTTCTCCCCATCCTCTGGCTCTTCCATGCTTTCCACTCTGTTCTACGGTGTTCCCTGAGCCTCGGAGAGCACGATATAAATGTTTTGTTATGAGCTGAGCACTCAGCTGTCACTTGTTCTCAGCACATTCTGCAGCCATGCATTTCTGTATTCTCCATCCTGCTTCATCATTTAAAAATAAATTCATTCTTGTTATGAATTAGAAGGGCATTCCCCATTGATTTTTTTCTTTTTCTTCTCTTCATGTGTACATGCAATAGGGTATGCATGCCTGTGTATATGTATGTTTTTGAGTGTAGGTTACAGGTGTTTATGAATGCATGGGAAGGCCCAGAGTTGGTAATCTTCATCCACTGTACTCTATTCTAGTCACTGAGGCAGGGGTTCTCAATCAAACCCAGAGCTCACTGATATGGCTAGTCTTGTTAGCCCATGTGCATCTGGTATTTCCTGTGTCCTCTTTCTGAGTCTGAACTCTCAGGCAGGCTGCCACACCCACCTGGGATTTGCATGGGTCATCTTACTTTCAGAAAGTGTTTTAATCACTGAGCCCACGTTCATCGTTTCTGTCAACACATCTAAAACAGGAGCTACAGCATTTCCCACTCAGACTGAGTGATAGAATTTTAAACTCTAATCTTTTCATTTTTTTCCCTGCAAGTCTTTAAAACTTAAGACTTATCAGTCACTTCAACACAATTTCCAAGTAACTGAATATGGTATCTGTCATGTTTTCCTTAAAGGAGCCAATTGGTGCTTGTGTTCACTTGCATAAATCTTTAAAACATTACTGAATGATTGATATATAAGTGACAACTCTCCTGTCTCCAAGCCTATCTTCTCTCCTAACTCACATTTCCAACCACGTCGTGGATATACCTGAAGGTCTCCCTAGTGCCATCTGTCTGGGTGGTCAGAGCCAAATTTCCTGTTGTCTTCTGCAGGCTTTGTACTTCTGTCTTAGTTACTTTTCTATTGCTGTGAAGAAATACCATGACCAAGGCAATTTATAAAAGGAAGCATTTAGTTGAGGGCTTGCTTGCAGTTTCGGTAGGTTAGCCTATGACCATTATGGTGGGGAGCATGGAAGCAGGCAGGCAGCCAGGCATGGTGCTGGAGCAGTAGCTGAGAGCTTACATCCTGATTCAAAGGCAACAGGCAGAGAGAAAGAGTCTCAGTATGGAACGGTCTTTTGGAACCTCAAAGCTCACTCCCAGTGCCACACCTCCTCCAACAAGGCCACACCTCCTAATCCTTCCCCAAAAGTTCCACTCACTGTGGACCAGGCATTCAAACTTAAGAGCCTCTGGGGCCATCCTCCCTCAAACCACCACACACAGCATTCCTGATTCCAGTGATCATTCCCGGTACTTAACCTGACTCCTCCATCTCCTCAGTCAAACCCCTGAACTGCCTGCTTCGTTGGTCTGTTTCTGTTCTCTCCTACTTCCCACTGTTGCCGGATACTGTGGCTTCTGGACCCCAAAGACCCTTTTAGTCAAGCCCATCTTTTACTGCTGCTCTGGCCTCGCTGTGTTGTTTCTCACCCGGACGTTGGAGGGGCCTCCTAATCAGGAGTCCGGTTGACTTTCCGCATTACAGCCACATCCTAAATAACAAACCTCACGTGTTAGCAGCCTTCAACTTACAATCACTCATGCCTGTGTACAGCTGACTGGAGGGAGTCTAAA